GTAAGCCTGATGATTGTCACACTTGTTAGCATCTAATTACCAAGTAAAGTGAGAAAAAAAAAATCAAACTATAAACTAATTCAATATGCATACATGAATGACGAACATAAATCCCATGAAGGTGAACATTCTTCCATGAACTCTACTGCCTCTTTAAAGTGGCAATTATACTGAAGAACATGGCACATCTGCATAAGAAGTTAAGAACACATGAATTACAATCAAGAACTTAAGCATTAGAAACTTCTTGCACAACTAACAGATAGTGATATGAAGCAGAGTAAATGATTAAAGCTCACATTATGTTGCACCCAGTTGTCATGCTTGTTGATCTCGTATCCCTTTTTTGCAGCTTTCTCAGCCTCTTCCATTCGTCCAAGCTCTAATAAAGGAAAAGCAAGCATGCCATACACGTAATCTTCTTGTTCATTACTGGGAAGAACCTGTTAGAAAATTGTTACGAGGGAATTGAGAAAATGTAAAATGATTCGACTACTATTTAAAACACTCAAAACCGCAGAAAAGTGTGCTCTCCTAATACCTATATCTTACGCCATAAACTTTTATTATTTGGTTGAAATTGCTCAATACTCATGCAAGATGCCAGAAAAATAGCAGCTAACAAATTACATATCTTCCACTGTGCTCAACATTATTCAACGAAAATATAGACATCACATACAGAAATGAACCTGTTGAACAAGATCCAACGATAGATCAGGTCGAGCAATGTAGAAGCAGAGCACTTGGGCCCTTTTCAGAGAAGCCAAATCTTTAGGGAAACATTTCAAGAGCTGCAAAAAAATAAATAAAAATATAAAATAAAAAAAGAACTAACATTTAACCGACAGAGCCATTACAAACAATAAAGACTAAACTTATGTTGAAGGGCTGTCATTCTTATACAATATACTTGAACCACACAGTATGTCTCCTACCATATCTGCCATTGTCAAAAACAATGAGAAACAAGCAATTGAAAACATAGTTGAAAACATCCGAGCAAAATCATGCTTAATTAACACCCATTTATGTCTTGGCTTCGGGATGATATATCGGTTATGCAAACTAGAGAAGATGCCACTAAATCATAAGAGCAGATTTCCATAGGCAGGTGATTGAGCAATCATGTAAAGATTAAGCAGTGAACTCTTTATACATAAAATTGGAATTTGAAGTGAAAGAAGTTTATAGTTTGAGGCAGATTTCCAACTCAGTTTCTGCGCTGGATCATCCCATCACTGACCAAATAGTTACTAACGACCTTGTTACAATTGCCAAGAAACCATAAATTAAAGAATGAGGATCCTCTCCGGATCCTTTTTGTGAGGATATGAGACCCTTGTACATCGTCGAGTGAGAAATCATTTTAAATACTTTTACTTTAAATTAAATATAAATAGTATACGATGGAAAATTGACCGCACGATATTCGATGAACATGGAAACGGTTTGAGGATCCGGAGGGAATTCTCCTGGCAAATTAAAAGCTTAAGAAACCAAGTAACATATGCTCATCAAGGAAATAAAAACCCAATAGAGAGAAACTGGCGCTGGCCCACCTTTGAATGCAACTCAAAAGCAACATCATCGTCTCTATCCACAGAAATCAAACTATTGACAGTAGCAAACACTGCTTTCTCGTACGGCGTAGCTTGTTCCTTTGCACAACAAATTTCCCATCACGCCACATAAGTAAATATCCAAAATTAATCAACAAAAAAGGGTTAAATTTGACCAAAGAAACTCACCAGCCGGGACTTGGCGGCTTGGAGATGAGGAGGAGCACGAGAAGGATCGGAGGAGGAGAGGAAATGGGCAGCCAGTATGTTAGCAAGCACGCACTGGCCGTCGTGCGCTGCCGCCTCCAATATCACTGACCGCCGCCGGCCATAATTCAAAACCTTCATTCACTCGTCAAAAATGAAAAATGTCAAAAACCCATCTCAGATTTTCCCACACCAAAGCCAGAGAAATCGAGAAAGAGTAAAAAATCGATGGTACCCACCTGGTCGTAGAAGGCGTTGATGGCGGAGATGCAGGCGTCTGAAGAGGTCCTCACCTCGTATCCAAACTTATCCACTTTTAACTCTCCCTTCATTTCTAACTCTCTCTAGCTAGCTGAGGCTACCACTCTACTCGCCGCCGATCACAAGAAGACAGCTTTTTTGCAGAAACCGGTGCTGGGTTTTGTTTTCGTTTGCCTGTAAATCGGAAAATCAGTGTGAAACTAGTAGAGGAAATACGAAGGTCGTTCTCAGCTGTCACGGTTGGCTTGGTGCGTAGTCTAATATTGGCATCGGCTTACTCGGCCCCTTTTGTTCTTGATTTTCTTACAGAAGTCTTTTCGTGTGATCTTTTCAAAGTCTTAATAATCTACATATTTATCTTAATAAATCACCTATTATTTTTGTAAACAACAAAGTAGATATGTTATGTACCAAAACTTACCTAATTTTGATACACTAAGATTAATACGTCATGTAATACAAATAAATTCACAGTCGAAATGTAGAAATGAGAATCTCATTTAACCAATTTTGTATAATCTTTTTCGTTGTTGATAATAAATCATCTTTTTCGTTGTCGTTTACGAATCATTTTTCGTCCACGTAAAAAGAAAATAACAAATCTTATACCATAAGCAACCAGGTGCCATTTCAATGTATAGTTTTCTTAATAAGTAAACGTATTAAAAAGCTTGTCATATTTTGGAGCAAGGCATATCAGAATCAGACCCAACTTGGTATTGAGCTTATTCCTTATGCGGTTGGGGCAGTGACATCTGGAATTTGGATCTGATTCTATTCACTATTCGGGGTTCAATTTCAATCCCACCCCAATGATAACCAATATGGGGGAAAATAACAAAAGCACACAACGACGCCTGTGCCTGTGGATATTCACTTTTATGATGTGCAAGTTTTGAGAATCGTTGGTGCTATTTACACACTTATTTTTATTTTTTTATATATTTTTTTGTTAATTTTTACCATTTGATAATTTTCAATTTATAAAATCTACAACAAAAAATTGAGAAAAGTGTGTGAAAGTAAAAAAAAATGCACGGATAGTACCACCCTTTGAAAATATGACTTTTGGAACACAAAAGTCTTAGGTCATTTTACCTTGGAAAGGGCACAAGTATCTCAATATTTGGTCCTTTTAGAGCATCTTCAATGCACAGGAAAATTTAGACTCAAATTTTATATTTGAGTTTAAATATGAGTTTAAGGGTTACCAATGCATTGGGACTTAAAACTCATGTAAGTTTCCGAACAAGCTGAGACTGAAGTATGAGATTTGAGTTTAAGGTGGAGCCCATGTTAATTATTTTTTAATTAGGAAAAATATTATTCAACGAAAAGAAAAATAGATTTGAGTTTTGAGTCCAATAATCTCCGATGCATATAACGAAATTGTTAAAATCCAAATATGAGTTTTGAGTCAATCATCTCCAATGCACGTAGCTGAATTGTTAAAACTTTTCTCATAGACTCAAAACTCAAATATTTGAGTCTTTGTGTTGAAGAACAAAACCAAAATACATAAATTCATCACCTTTTTTAATACTAAAATACAAGAATATAGATTTAGAATTTGAGTGCTCTTTAGTAGTCTCGGACTGAAGGAAAGGCTAGCTCGTTATTGACAATATTTGAAAGAAGATGACGATAGCTCATTGGAGCCCTCGGTCTTCCCATCTTCATATTGTATGTTGTTTTATGAAGATACTGTAACTAGGGAGTTTAAAGAGTTTGAAAAGAGTAATGTTATTCATACCATATTTTTGTATCATATTTTCATATCATCTTAGATGATATTTGATGTGAACAGACACATTATTTGAATTAATCAGATTTTTAAATTTAGTTCATTATTTAATAAACTAATAATTAAGAAAAACTAGTTAATTAAATAATGATTGTGGTATACGAGGAGTCTTTCTCCTTTATTTTCTTGAGTTTTACAAATTTTTCAAATGATATGGTTGTCCACATCAAATGTCACCTAAGATGGTATAGAAATGTGGTATAAAAACATGATATGATTATCATTACTCTTTTGAAAAAAAAAATACTTGACACGGGAGATGCGCTCTCTATTGTGAGTGCTCAATAAGCACACACTCCACTACACGCAGACAGAAAAAAAGGCCAGGCTATAAGTTTTATCAAACTATAGTCGACATATGTCTCGCCTGCATACGATCACTTTGACGTCTCAGATACATGTAAGTTCCACGCCTAAGAGCCGCTGCAGCTCTTGCTTTGGCAGCAAAATCTAATTAGCAATCTCAACAAGCTTGTCAGTCTCAAGCATAACATCCAGCAGCATGTGCACAAAACTTGTCAGCCTATTTTACCAGCCCCGGCGTTTTCGTTTGGTCCAGCAGTTCGGTTCCATGCATCTTCTCGTTTAGAATGAGCCACCCCAAGAAACAACCGAATGAAATGTCCATGTATCCGATCTCATCTCCGCCTAAATAGTCGTTGCCTTTGCTGGATTTCTCAAAGGCTTCCCCCAGCAGCGCCAGCCCTCTGTCACTTGCTCGATTGCTGCCATCTTTGCCTCCTGAAAGAAACTCGGTAGTCGACGGATTTGAGCTTAAGGGCAATGTAGCCCTCATCACGATTACTTAACTAAGTTAACACTCAATTAGTGACTTATTCGAACACCCAGAGCGGTGTATCGAGATGTAGAAAAGTCTCTTTCCAAAATCACTAAATTAGGGTTGTTTTTAGAGATTTTTCGGGCTTGTGCCAAAATAAAAATTGCAGGCCTTGACTTTTGAGTGAAGTTTTTAGATTCATTCAAGAATTTAACCCTACCCTATAACTGTTCTGATTCTGAGCCCCTGTGCGCAAGACGAAAGTAGCACAAGTGAATCTCATAACGTATCAATAGTTGACAATTATTCACATAATTATTTTCTTTTAACTATATCGTTTACGCATATTATAATTAAGAATGGTTTATATAAAAAACAACTATTGAACTAATAGAAGCACGTAAATGATTTTATTTCACTGTCAAATTAACATAAAAACCACGACGCAAAATAAAACAGGCCAAAGTCCACGAGTTTACCAAACTACAGCAGTCTAACACATCCGACTTAATCACTCGTTTAAATAAACAAGATCCGTTAATTAGATTCACTAATTCATCACTTGGGAGCCCATGCACCTCTCGCTTTGGCTGCAAGAATCTTAGCAAACTCAGCCAGCTTGTCAGTCTCCGGCATAACATCCTTCACGGCAGGATCTGCACTGAACTTCTCAGCCCATTTGACCAGCCCTGGGATCTTTGCGTCGTCCAGAAGTTTGACCCCATTCATTTTCTCTGTGACTCTGAGCCACCCCAAGAAGCACCCGAACGCAATGTCTAGGTACCCAATTTTGTCTCCACTAAAGAAGTCCTTGCCTTTGCTGGTTTTTTGAAAGGCTTCCTCCAACTGAGCTAGCCCCTCGGCAACTTTCTCGACTGCTGCCTTCCTTGCATCATCTCCTTGAGCAGCACCAATGCCCTTCATCGCCGGAAACCACTGCACCAGCCGCACCAATATTTACAAAAGTGAACATATTTTAGAACACGTTTGGAAAAATCTTTTGTACGAAGTAATTATGCAGATATTAATCATTCTATAAGCAATTCCAAATAGATCTTATAGGGAGATTGGCGGTTGTCCGCCCCTCTTTGGAGGGTCGGAGCCGTGATTTCTCTGCCGTCGCCGCAACCGCCCCATATTTTAAATAGCAAAGAATAAAAAAGCGACGTGCATCATTCATCAAATCCTTTACATTTAACTGGATAATCCAAAAGACTAATAATAAATTAATGAGATCAGCCTACAACAATTAAAAATTAAGGACATGAAGATAAACCATGCAGTTACCTTCTCATCGATATAGGCAGCCCAGAATCTTGCAGTAGCGCGATCGAACGGGTCAGAAGGGAGGATAGATGGGCCAGAGGACCAAACCTCATCGATGTACTCAACAATGATGAGAGATTCACAAACGGGCTTGTCGCCGTGAATCAGAACTGGGATTTTCTTGTGGACGGGATTGGACTGGAGCAGAAGCTGGCTTTTGGATCCGAATGTCTCCTCCAGAAACTCATACTCCACCGACTTGATATTGAGCGCGATCCGAGCCCTCATCACGTATGGGCTCGGCCAAGCTCCCAAAATCTTCACGTTGCTCTTCGCCATGATTGATTCAGATTTACTCGCAAACTCGAAAAGCTCTCAAAATGCAGATGCAAAATCTGTGGTTTGGGATCCGGTTATTTATGAATGTGCATGAAAGATAGTAAGGAGAGGGTAGAGGCTTAGAAAGTGACAGTTTGGTGTAAAAGTAATGACAATATGTGTGGCAATCCCACGTCGGTGGTGGAAGTTAAATATGATTACCTTATTTTAACTAGTACAGATATTTTTTATAATAAAATCTCACACTTAATAAATTAAATAACGGTTAAGATTAGAAACAATATCGATGTGTTAGAGTAGGATCAATCGTCAATTTAAAAAATTTCGACAGTGATTTGTTTTCCGTATTGACTTTCAGCGTATTTGAACCTAGTTCTAGTCGGTCTTGTCAGATAGGAAGTTGGTGTGTCGTGCGGCGGAGGTGGGAGCACGTAAGACGACGACAACTGGAACTGCGTGGCTTATTCTTGCACGTCAGAACGCACCTGTTCCCTGCACACATCTCTCACAAAAAAAATAAATGTGATAAAAGATTGATAAAGGAGATATCATATACTGTCGTATTTACAAAACTAAGACAAAAGAAGGAAAAAAAAAATTAATATCATGGAAAATGCACCAGCCGGGAATCGAACCCGGGTCTGTATCGTGGCAGGGTACTATTCTACCACTAGACCACTGGTGCTACTGCTTTGGTGTGCACTTTTTCTATAATATAGATATATAAAAAAAATTGTGACATCACTGCTAGGGCACAGCTCTGAGCCGAGTTGAATTTTCTTGAATAAACTGATTTTCATTACTTGTGTGTAGATTTCATAATTCACGTGACGTGTATATAGAAAATGGAATTCAAAATCGTTACTAGAAAAACTAATGACTATTTTTTGTATTGATTGGTTGGTTTTGTTTGTAAACATACACAGTAACACAACTAGCAGCAATCTTTGCAAAAAACAGTCATGTTACAAATCTATCAGGGTTCAAAGCAATGGAATGGCTCGTTGAGACCAGAAAGCATTTCGGGGGCAGCCCGAAGTTTGCAATTCTTCCGAGTTCCTTCCGAGTCCTTCATTCTCAGTCGGTCTCCTTGGTCTTAAGTTGGCCCTTGAAGCGGTTGTATTTGCAATTTGCCCCTGGTGAAGCCGTATCAGCTTAACTTTTTTCTTTGCTGATTTTCTGGGATGCAGGCACTTCTGCATGTTCTCTGCTTTTACATCCTCCAACTTTACCAAGAGTGCTGCACCCAGCCAAAGTAGTTAAGATCAGAAGAATGCTGACATAACATTTCTAAGCTGCATTTAACGGTTTCATGTCAAATCATGAAGAAGAAAAATCTACACATACCAGTAGGTTCGTGTTTACAGAACATTCTGTAAACATTTGGGCAGTGATGAAATCCAACTGAACATTCGAGCGAAATAGCCATCTTGAGATTGCTTGGATCTGTTTATGGAACAGCCCTACTCCTTAGGGCCCAGCTTCATCTATCTTTGATTTCGTGTCAAATGTTCGATAGCCAGGTACACACGTAGGTCCCTGGCTAACAAAGAGTAATAGCTCATAACCTGCGCAGTATAGATTCATCAAGCAATGGGAAAAGGTCTAGAAATGATACCAATAAGAACTTACTAACATTTCAATATCATTATTTCAGAGAGGCTGTGCAATATCCCATATCATACTAAACACATCGGGATGAGAACTATTACGGTGATGATAATATCGCAGATGCGATTCCGCAGGAACTGAAACTGAATTTCTCTCCAAGAGATCCCATTAGAGCAATTCTGCTACGTGTCTTCATTCTTGGGCTTGCCAACAAGACAATTCTCTATAATTTCATCACAAAGATCAAGAGTAATGTCCATGTTCCCTTCTTCATAGTTCATATCGACAAAAATGTTGTATGTTTCTCTATCTGCAACCACACCATGTCTCCTCATTTCTTTGAATAGTTCCCTTGCCTCTGCAAATTTCTTTCTCTTGAAAAAACCCTTAATAAGTGCACTGTAACAACTTGACGTGGGAATAAATCCCTTCCCTGCCATTTCTTTATGCAAAAACCATGCCTCTTTCATATTCCGTGCCTTACAATGCCCTTTTATCAAAATGTTATAGGTGTTGCTATCAGGAATCACCCCGCCAGCACACATGCTCCTATAAATTTCCGTCGTAGTACGCATATTATTTCTAATGCAGTACTGCTTCATGAGAGAATTGTAGGTTGCGGCATTAGGCACTATACCCTTCTCCAACATCCACTTGAGTAGCCTCTCAGCATCTTCCACCATTCCTGACGAACAAAATCCATTCATCAGCACATTGAATGTGACAACTGTAGGTTGAAGCCCTCTATCGAGCATCTCACGCAGGACCTTCTGAGCCTTGGTCATGTCTCTCATCTTACAATATGCATCCATCAAAGTGGTATAAGTAATAGTATCAGGACAGGGCCCTGCAGCCTCCATTTGTTCCACCAATTTTTCTGCCTCTGCTATGTTTCCCAACTTACAAAGGCCGTTAATAATTGAGTTGTAAGTGCAGACATTAAGCTGAAGGCCCTTCCTACACACCTCATGAAGAAGTTCATTTGCTACATCTACCTCCCCTCTTTTACAAAGGCCATCAGCCAGTGCCGTATAAGTGACAACATTTGGGGTAAGCCCCATGTTAACCATCTGGTTGTGAAGAGAAAACGCCTCTATCATCTCACCTGCTTTGCAATAACCATCAATAAGTGCTGTATAAGTAACTTCATCTGGTTCTAATCCTCTGCTAACCATTTCATTGAAGAGCTTATCTGCTTCTGTCATCTTCCCTATTTGACAAAATCCATGAATAAGGGCAGTATATGTTATATAATCGGGGACAACTTTCCTACCCCGCATTTCGTCAAATAGCCTACTTGCAGCAGGAACATTCCCCGACTTACAGAATCCATCAATTAGAGTAGTGTAGACAACATTATCAGGAAGTATTCCCAAAACCATCATCTCCCTCAGTAACATTTCTGCTTCAGATAGTTTACCAGTCTTACATAGAAGGAGTATTATGCTGTTATAGGTATAGGAATTTTGCATCAATCCTTTTATTTTCATTTCCTCGATGAGCTTCAACACCTTCTGTAGTTCTCCAACATAACAATATCTGCTGATTAAAGTACTATAACTTACAACATCAGGTATACAACCCCTCAACTCCATTTGCAGGAGTAAATGGTGGGCTTCTTTTATTTTCCCTAATCGACAAAGACAATGAATGATAATATTGTATGATATGGTGTTCCAGTGAGAACCCACTACAGGATATTCATTGAAAAACTTTATTGCCATCTCAATCCCATCAAAGGTGCTTGATAGCCGAGTAAGAAATAAATTACAGGAATCAACAGAGATAACCAACCCATAGCTCAACAATTTATCAAAAAGCTTTCTTGCTTCATTGAGCATCCCAGTTTCAACAAGGACCTGGAAGTAAACATCGAACACATGGGGATCTGAACCCCAATCCTTGTAAGTGTATATCAACCGATCAGAAAAGCGAGCGAATGAAACACTAACATCTAACTTGGGTTTTGCCCAAAAATTATGAATAAGCTCATGCGCTGTTTTAAGATCCTTTGATGCTGCAGCAATTTGTACAACGACACAGTGGGCTTCTAATGATGGGTCCCTTCGTAAGCATGCCCAGTCAAACAAATCCAACACTAGTTTATAGTCATTCTTGATATTCATGAGGACCCAAATAAGATGGTCAGACCTGAAATGAGATTCATAAGGCTTCAGAATACTCCAAAAGGGCTCAGAGCAGCGAAGCTTAATTGTGGTGGAGATGCGATGTACAAGTTCGGCATCTTTGATGGACGGTTTCTTAGGGGAATAGTCAGGAAAAGGCCTTGTATGTGTTGCTCCTAAGGAAATTCCATGACTCAAACATCTTCTAAAGATGAATAGTGAAGAATTTACAGCAAGATTTAAGCAAGGACGATGATAGGAGATTTGAAAACAATAGACTGACAAGATGGCGCGCCTCTTCATATCTACTCAAGGAACCCATCAAGAACAATTTTTGGGACCCTTTTCTAGTAATGCAGCGGCTTTCCTCCATTTAGAAGAACCAAAGCAAAGAGGTTGCTTCATCACATCACCTGTATGGTAACAATTAAACACAAACACTAAACATATAAAAACTCTCGTAAAACAAAATATAGCGCCTATACATCAAAGCATACATAACATAACCAACTTTTGTTCGTTTGCCGAACATCATTTACAAACAGAGAATTTCATTAAAACGCTGAGAGTAGCACACTTGCATTGCATGGCAATACTTGAACAATGAACATATTCTGATTGCAAAACCAATAAAACCATTCAAGTTGCTACCATCTACATTGATTCCGAAACTGATAAAACGTTCAAAAATTTCAACAAATTGACATTCACAATCACACCCACACTCCGTCACTAACTAAAACAAAGTAAAAGTGGTTCACGCATTCTATCAGACACTTGGTGAGCAATCAATAAAAAGTACTCAAAACTGAAAAATAAGGAAACAAGGTGGCAAAAGGGACAAGCTTTTGAAGCTGGGATGCATGAGAGGTGTTACCTTAGAAGTGGTCGACTGTGAAAAGCTCGAAAGCTTCCAACTTCCCAGAAACTTGTTTTCAGAAGGATGGCGGTTGCCTGTAAATATCTCGAGTTTCATTCGGCCTCCACTCTCCTCCGGCAGGTATTTAATTTTAGTGAGAGAAACAATACTGGATAAAGATCTTTAACTGGGCCCTATATGCTTGGGCCAATTTTTTGACATCAAATACCAAAGACTTGGGCCGGGCTCAAAATGATAAATGAGTTTATAAAATATATTATTGTGTGTTTTAACTTGAACGAAAGAAACTTGCATACAATTAGAACACATAGGTAGTCGATCTCAAGCTTACCATCTCCGCAAATGACACTACTAGCATTTGAGTGTGATTGTATTATTCTCCACTTGTAAATAGAAGGTCTTCAGTTCAACTCACTTGAATGACAAATTTAATACTTATTCATTGTGACAAAATCATTAGGCGACTTAACTCAAATCTCTCTCTCCCTTTACTCTAATGGTAGGACATCACTGTACCAAAAAGAAAAACACCCAAACAAATAACGTCATGTGATAAACTTATAATCTTGCCACTCATTGTGATTGAGTAAGTTCTTCTCCCTTGATATAATTCCCCCTCTCACATGTACATGTAAAGTTCTCCTAAGACAATCCACGACTTGCGCTTTAACAATTTTTTTAGTTTGGATACCCTACCAACAGAACTATTCCCCAGTTACATATATTATTGGAAACTTATTAAGAATAAAATTCGTTATCAACAAATAATGTCTTCGTTGATGACATAAATAATTTGCAAAAGTTCAATAAATGGAGGAGAAATCATCATTGCTGCATTTTCAATCCGGTTTAATTCCAGAACACCATGCTTTTGATATCTCTTTTTTTTTTTTTTTTTTTTTCTGATTTATTGCTGAAGTGGTAGTGGTGGGGAATATATACTCATTCCTCCAAGCAAAAAGTTGAGTTTGTGAATGGAAATTCAAAAAATATATAGAAAGCCAGGGCTACGATTGCTTTGGGACTATGGGTAGGTAGCCGTATTGGGATCTCAAATCACAAAAATATATTACATTTGAAAATGCTTTTGAAAAGGTTAAAAGTGATTTTAGATAACTAATTAAGGATGCTGAAAGTAGTGCATTTGACAAAAACAATTAAAAAAAATTTCAAATTCTAAAAACCGGTGTCGGCGTTTTTAATAAAGTACTTTCTAGCATAAGTGCTTTCTACATAAGCAAGTCGATAGTTAGGGTTACAAGCCAGGTGAGTTATGTGACCAAGAACTGCATGGTGAATTAATATTGATTCCTAGACTGTTCATCGGATTAAATGGTTATTAACTTATTACTTCGTGTCTCCATTAATTAAATTATTGTTCGAGATGTCATTTGAGAAGGAGGGAGATAATCAATTCAAAGGTAGGCAGGGGGAACAAAGGCATCTGTTAAAAGGGAAAAGAGAATCACGGAACATCTAAAGCTAGCTAGTATTCTGGGCAAGTGGGTATGAACATTTAACTTTGCACTTTAGGTATCGAGTTTGATTCCGGACTTCCTCTATTTCACCGGAATGAAGAAAACAAAAACAAAACTAGCTACTGCCAATCGAAAGTGTTGATGAGATCCAAAACTACATGCTCCTTCTTTTTGGCGGAATATTAATACTTGTATCATCTCAAGTGATTATCTGGTATACTATTTCTTTAAGTATACCTTACTTACACTAGCTCGACATCAGTTGAGATGATACAAATAGTTTTATTTATCGAAAACCCCTAGGCCCAAAACTGTAAACTCACTAAGCTTTCTTGTTCCACTTCATAATATATATACACACCAACACAACACCAAGGCCTCACTTCACACCCTCTCATCAAACTAATCATTTTCTCCTCCCCAAACTCACAACAATATGAAGTTTAGCTCTCCTTCAACACCAACTCTCTCCATCACCTTCCTCTCCATCTTCCTCCTCCAACTCACCTTCATCTCCTCCCAAACCTGCCAAAGATCCTGCGGCGAACTCCCCCTCAAGTTCCCATTCGGCAGCGACCCCGGCTGCGGCGACCCGCGCTTCAACCCTCACGTGTCGTGCAGCCAGGGAAATCCCATCTTCACAACCCACACCGGATCCTACCCCATCACCAACATAGACTACACAAACAAGGTCATGTACATCTCAGACCCCTCCATGTCAACATGTTCATGCAAACAACAATCCAAAGGGTTTGCCCTAGACTGGGACGCACCCTTCGATTTCCAAGACGACAACGTTTTTGCCCTACTCGACTGCTCACTTTCCACCTCTCCAATCTTCCAACAAAACTCCCTATACACTGACAAAAAAAAGAGCTCAAAAATCTCCCTATGTGCCAACCAAGGTGCCCCGATTTGTAGCTACTTGTACTCATGTCAGGCGATCAGCACAATCAACCTCCCGACATCCACCTGTTGTGTTTACACGCCGGTGGATCTCGGGCCGGCTTTCGAGATGGATTTGGAGAAGCTGCAGTGCAGCTCTTACTCAGGGTTTTACAGCTTCAACGAACGTGAGTCTGATCCTAATAGTTGGAAGTACGGGATTGCCCTCAAGTACAAGTTTAGTGTGAACAACGAGTATCCGAGTTCGTGTGCTAATTGTGAGAGGAGTAATGGAGTTTGCGGGTATTATGGGAATTACAACTCGTTTATATGTAATTGCCCCAGTGGGATCAACACCACCAATGATTGTTTCTTTGGAGCTTCATATAATTACGGTTCAAGGCTTCGATCGTGGCAGATTGGTACGTATTCAATCTCTCCTTTTACCCTTTTGTGGTTTCATTTTTCAATTTTTTTATTCACATTTCACGACGGTACAGAGAGTACACTGGTCTAATCAACTTAGTCTGTTTGTGATGTTTTTGCAGGGACTTGGTTAATCTATTGCTTGGCTTGGTTATTGCTTTTGGTAGTGTAGATTGTGAAATTTCGTAGATGGATTTTAAAGTTCAAATGCAAGTTGAGGTTTGAACTTTTTATGAATCCTATAAAATATGTTGAGATTCAACTTTTTGTTGTAAACTGTTGAGATTTCTCCTCAATGTTCGTAGCGATAACTAGGTTAAGCCAATTAGCTAAACCAATGTACGTGTCATCTTGCCCCGACGTTATATAAAAAATAAGATAAAAGAATTCAAAAACCCAAAGGAAATGGCATATAAAAAGAAGATTAGGGAATTTGGTTCCATCTTTTTGTAGCATTATCACCACTCAGAAAGAATCAACTTTCATTACAAAGGCTCTTTCTGTATCCACATTTACATCACTACATATGGTTGCCTAGATTCTACAGGGGCAGAACAGTAACTTTCACCATCTAACTTCTTTACAATTGTAAAAAGGGTAAATGAGGGACCGAGAAAGCAACCTAGGTGAGAAAAATTTGACACAGTTAACCCCCACCGGATATTTACAACGGTATACTATGACGGCAAAACTTGTTTCTCTGTATTCCTCTTTTCACATTCTTTATACTGTAAGCAATAAAATGTTGATCAATGCGTCATTACTGGTCATCGCATATTGCAGCACTGGGGTTTCCCTTGTTGTTGCAGTTTGTCCCACATGCATATCATTTGTCTCGGAGATTGGTAATGCGCGGTGTAATAGTCGTCGATGCACCCAAACTGGCAGAACTTCCAGCTGTGCACATACTCCACCGGTTTAGATTTGTTGAACTGCTCCACCACATTCCCATGCTCACATCTTCCATCTTGAACAACTGCACAGAACAGAAGTTAATTTAAAGATATGGAGACCTGTACGCGGACTACAGATGCTAACAAGAAAAAACAGTATTTTCATCACATACTCGCAACTTGTGCTTCTCAAACTCGGATACGAAGGATTTTGCTATGTCAGGAGATTATGTATCCTGGACCATTTGCATAGGGTGGATAATCTTCTTCTGGCCATTCCTGGAGCTCACCAAGGAAAAATATGAAGGATGAGAGATTGCTCATGACACAACCCATATACGAATTCTATATGAACGTGAACTAAAAAGTGACACCTTTAAATGACATAGTGATTGTTAGGAGCTAAATACTATCTAATTCTTATCACCAGTCACAATTGCAGACGACAACATACGCAATGAGGCAAATGACAATCAGGTAGATAAGAAAACCGAATAAAATATTCACATTAAAAGCTAGAGTTTGGTAAGAGTATTAAGGCTGTCAAATTAATGGTGGTTCCTCTATCTCCTTTTTTAAGTAAAAATTTGTTCCTCTGTCTCTTGATTTCTAAAAAATATTACTCTAATCCAAAGCATCAACACTCAACTAAGAGTAGTCACAAACAGAATTTACCAGAAAACGTATTAACATAAGGCACAAGATCAAAGCTAAGCATTCGAAGAAAAACTTGTAAATCACAAGTTGTAAACGTTTGTCCTTAAAATTAGAGAAGAGAATGTTAATCACATTAAGCAATATATTTAAAGGACATATACAGCTTGAGAAGATCAGAATTACTTAATGGTTTAGAGAATACCAGAAAGGACTTACAAACAGTGAAGTTGTACATCAATCTCAAGTTTGTATAATTTGTTGTTTAGAATCATTGGTGAAGAGCAGAAGAATGCATACCTCATATGTCACTGCCCATTTACCATGGCGAAGAGGGCTGTGGTGGTAGTTCATATTTCCAATATAGAAGCTTCTATACCCATGAATTTTCCGTGCTTCCTTGGGCACAGTATCCACCCTGACAAATGTGTCATCATCGCACTTCATGATATACCTTGCAGGCACAGTGCGAACCTGTAAAGAACCACATACATTGATGTAAAGAAAAAAATAAGTACAGCCAATTTGAAGTCCTGTTATGAAGCTTACCCCATATTCACAAATTGCAACAGTCTTCAATACTACCAGATCATAGTTATCCATATAAGGAACTATAACAATGTCCCCATAATAATCTACTTCTTTCATAAGCTCTACATTTGTCCCCATAATAATCTACTTCTTTCATAAGCTCTACATTTACGTCCTTCCTTCCATGCTGCCAAAATATAATTCCAAACACTGTTAATAGTTGACATTTATCAAAGCACAAAACAAGCATTCTACATTCCTTACCAG